CTCCTCCTCCTCCTCCTCCTCCCTCTCCTCCTCCCCCTCCTCCTCCCACCACCTTCTAAGATGTGGAGACGGGGAAGAGAGAAGGCGAGAGGAGAACAACGGATACTGGGGAACATGGGGCGAAGAGAGGAAAGGAAGGATAGGATGACGAGGGAAGGCGGGAGAAGAGGAGCAGGAAGAGATTTGAAAAAGTTGTTGCCCACACCCCGCGGACGTGAGCAAACTTGGGCAATTCAGACCCCCCCCCTTCCCCGTGGGACTAGACGGACCCCAAGAAGGTGGCAGAACGTCGCGCGGAGCGAGCGCGACTTCTCCGGCGTCTCTTGCTCCTCCGTTTCACGCCACTCCTCCTTCCATCCCTCCCTCCTCCCTCCCCTGCCATCGTCTTCGATCGTGTCCACTTGGGTGTATATCTTTCTCACCTGCGACGTGTATTTCGCGCAGCCCCTAAGACAGGGGAAGAGAAAACGGATGGAAGGCAGGGGAAGAGAAAACGGATGAAAGGGACAAGGAACAGGGAGGATGAGGCACGAGAGAGAGTAGCAGAAGGGGGGCAAGGAGAAGAACACACGTCGCAGAACCAGACAGGCAGATCGGGCGTGCAGGCGGCCCGGTCGAGCAAGCGGGCTGCTGAAGCGTGCGTCCTGCATGAAACGCGAAGAAGTCTCGAGCGCTAGCGCGATTCCAAGACAACCGTGAGAAATCCACAGCGAGAGCGTGATTCCTGAGTGTCGAGGGCGCCGCGTTTGAATAAGTTGCAAGGAACTCCCGCGCGAGAGCGCGATTTTGGAGTAAACTGTGAGGAAGTATGAGGCGGAAACAGTTGCTGTTGTAGTTCGAGGCCCAGCAACGCAGTTTGAGCAGGAGGACTTCGCCTTATAAAAATCAGGGTGCAAGCCCCGAGGGGGGCACTTCAACCGAAAAACACAGTGTGCACCGGTGGGGGGCATCAACAATATCATTCTTCAAGAATTGGGAACTCGACAACGACAACGACGACGACGACGACGACGACGACGACGACGACGACGACGACGACGACGACGACAACAACCTGGAGGCCTCGGCCCGCCCCTGGTCTCCCCCCCGACGGGGCCGGCGGACGGCGCGCGGAGCGCCCCCGCATTCTCCAATTACCGTGACCGTCGAGCACGAGCTTGTCGGGCTTCTTCTTCGAGAACCCGCCTGTGCGACGAGGGGGTACGGGTCTTGCGCGAGATGGCACACAGACGGACCTAAGCCAAGGGAGCATCCCTCAAGAGCGTGAGACCCTGCGCCGGCCGAAGCAAACACAGAACGTTCAAGGGTACCCTCCCCAGGGTGCACAAGGACACCCAACAAGCTCGAGGAACATGAGGGCACCCTCCCCGAACCGACCTCGATCATATACCTCGGTCCGACAATACTTAGAGACCTTACGCCGCGGCTTGCGCGGGCCGCCGGTGCGGAACGCCACACTGCGCCGGTGCGGAACGCCACACTGTGGACACTGAGAAAGGGGGGGCGCTCAAGCGAGGCCTTACTGGAAGCCTCCCGACTGGGCTTCTAGCAGGTGGGGCTGGAGGATCACGCCGCAGCGGCAATACATCGCATCGACATGTCAGCGGCGCCTCGGCGCCGTCGGCGTGCGAAGATCGGGCTCCACGTCGAGCTGCATCGCCGACAAATTGGCGATTCGGCACTATCATCCGGCCCCTACTCCGACCCCATCTGGGAGGCCCCAGGCTTACGCGGGACGCTTGCTTGCGCGACTGTCGGCGCAGCCCGCCCCGCTGTCTTCCGTCGCTCGCCCGGGGGCTGCCTCACGTTCACGGAGAGAGGGCGCGCGGGGCCGCGGGGTACGCCCCCCCGCCTGGGGCCCCGGGTATAGTGCGTGGCCTGGATCGGGACAGAATCGGATCGCAATAAATCGGGGATCTCTGAGATCCGCTGGGCCTGGAGGATTCGAGGCAAGGGAAACTGAGAAACGTCGCGCCTGAGTCCAAAAGGAACCCGCTCCTTTTGATCCCTTCCCCGCGGAGGGGGTCCCCCGTCAGAATACGCTCCCTCCCCGTTCTCCTGTCGAAAACTATTCTAGCCCTGGCGCCTCACAGCGCTAGCAAGGTCGGCGGCACCGGCCGTGAGGCCTTCGAAATCGGGGATCTCTGAGATATCCGCCAGGCCTGGAGGACGTATACAGTCGGACCGAGGCCAGAAGAACATCCTGCAAGAACATGAGACACCCATCCGCCGGCCAAAACATCCCAGACCATAAGATCACTCCAGGATGCACAAGAACATCCAACAAGCACGATGAACATTAGGGTCCCCTCCCCGAACCGACCTCGATCTGAGACCTCGTGCCGACCGTATCACCATTTGGGCCTTGGGTGGAGCTCCCTATGGGGCCACGAAACGCGTGAGGGGTGTACCGAAAGGGGTGGCGGGGACGCATGCGGACGGCAACATTTGAGCATTGGGTGGAGCTCCCTACGAAACGTGTGAGGGGTGTACCGAAGTGTGCGGAGGCGACGCATGCGGGCGGCAACATATGGGCCGTGGGTGGAAATCCCTATGGTGCCACCAAACGTGTGAGGGGTGCGCCGACATGGGCAGCGGGGACGCATGCAGACGGCACCACTTGGGCCTCGGGTGGAGCTCCTTATGTGGCCACGAAACGTGTGAAAGGTGTGCCGACATGAGTGGCGGGGACGCATGCAGACGGCACCATTTGGGCCTTGGGTGGAGCTCCCTATGGGGCCACGAAATGTGTGAGGGGTGTGCCGACATGGGTGGCGGGGACGCATGCGGACGGCAACATTTGGGCCTTGGGTGGAGCCCCCTTATGGGGCCACGAAACGTGTGAGGGGTTTGCCAACATGGTTGACTGGTGCGGAGGTCAGAGGCAGGGATGGGAGGAGGAAGGATCGGGAGGAAGGGGAGGAGGAGGAGGAGGAGGAGGAGGAGGAGGAGGAGGAGGAGGAGGAGGAGGAGGGGAGGAGGAGATGATGTGAGGGAAGGAGGAGGATAAATGAGGGAACCGGGCGGGCACTGTCTTTCAAAACGAATACCCAACACCACAGGATGGCTGGGAACAAACGAGAGAGAGGGAGAGAGAGAGAGAGAGACAGTGAGAGAGACTGAACAACTCGGAGAAGACAGAGACAGAGGCAGAGAGACAAAGAGAGAGGGGGGGGGACCACCTTCGCCGAGCGAGTGCCTGGCAAACCAGGAGTGGTCCAGCGCGTCGTCGGGCACGATGCGCTGCCCCGGGTTGGGCATCAGCAGCCACTCCAGCAGGTCCTTGGCGTCCGAGCTGGTGAGCCAGCCCACCTCGAAGTCCCCCCGGCGCAGCAGGTCCTTGCTGACGCGGCCCCGGTCCACGAACGGGTGCTCGCCCCTGAAGAGGATCATGTACAGGGTAATCCGCCCACCGCGCCCGCGCGGTGCGTGCGTGCCGCGGGCGACCGGCCGGCGCTTGCGGGCGTGGTCGGCCCCCCTCCCCGCCACGGGCCCCCCTCGTACTCGGGCCCCGACCGCCGCCCCTCCTCCTCCTCCTCCTCCTCCTCCTCCTCCTCCTCCTCCCTCCTCCTCATCCTCCTCTTCTTCCTCCTCCTCCTCCTCCTCCTCTTCCTCCTCCTCCTCCTCCTCCTCCTTCTCCTCCTCCTCCTCTTCCCTCCTCCTGAGGGGGGGGGCTGGCTCCAGGGGGCAGGGCGTCGGTCCAGGATCGGCGCTCTGCGTCGCCGGTGGATCGGCGGTGGGCCCTCGATAGCGAGTGCGCGCCGCACTCCTGGACGGGGTGGGCGCCATCGAGCCCTCTCGGCAACGAATGGGCGGAGTGGGGGTCGACGAGCCCCCACCCGAGCCAATCCCCCCAGCCCCCCAATCACGTTGCCCCCCCGAGGGGGGTCGATCCCCCTCTTCGTCACGACGCCTCCCGCCCAACCGTTGCTGCAATTGTGCCGCACCAGTGAGTAGGAGGGCATGGGAGCTTGTGCCGAAGCTTTCGTCGCAAGCCTGGGTGAAACGGCTCCTGGTATCAAATCTCCCCAAACAAAAATTATAGGCGGAGTGCAGTATCCCCAAACAGGGTTTTTAGACTCACTGCGGTTTCCAAGGTCGATCGCGTGCCCGTCCAGTGCGGGCTGGCATGGCATGTTAAAACATGCCTCCTCCTCCTCCTCCTCCTCCTCCTCCTCTTCCTCCTCCTCCACCTCCTCTTCATCCCGAACGGCATCTCGGAGCCCAGAGTTGCGAGGATGTCTCCAGCGTAACGGGCTGGACCACCTCGCGCGCTGCATTTCGGACCCCAGAGTTGCGACGATGTCTCGGGCGAAACGTGCTGCGAGGAAGTCTCAGGCGAAACGGGCCGGACCACCTCGAGCGTGGCGCCTCAGACCTCCGAGTTGCGGGGGCCTCCTGGGGCCCTCCTGGTGACCTCCTGGGGCTTCCTCCTGGGCCTCCTGCGGCCTCCTGGACCCCACCTGGGGCTTCCTGAAGCCTCTTGGGGCTCCCGGGGGGGGATATCTAACATGTGGCCGTCGGGGCCCCCCAAAATGAGGGGGGCCACAAGAGCAAGAAGAATCAACGAATCGACACCGGATTTGTATTAACTTGACACGTTCTGATAGGGGGCCTCCTGGGGCCTCCTGGGAGCCTCCTGGGAATCTCCTGCGGACCCCTGGGGCCTGTCCTGGGCGTCCTGCGGCCTCCTGAAGCTCTCTGGGGTCTCCTGGGGCTCCCAGGGTCCCAGGGGGGATATGTAACATGTGGTCTTCTGGGCCCCCAGGCTGGACCACCTCTCGTGCAGCATCTGAGAGCTCAGAAGTTCGAGAATGTCTCCCGTGAGAAGAGCTTGGACCACACCTTGCCGCACGGCATCTCAGACTCAGATTGCGAGGATGTTCACGCGAGATGGGGCCCGTAACCACCTCGCGCAGAGCATCTCGAGCCTAGAGTTGCGAGGATGTCTCAGGCGAAACGGGCTGGACCACCTCGCGCGCGGCACCTCGGACACCAGAGTTGCGACGATGTTTCGGGCGAAACGTGCTGCGAGGAAGTCTCAGGCGAAACGGGCCGGACCACCTCGAGCGCGGCGTCTCAGAGCTCCGAGTTGCGTGGGCCTCCTGGGGCCTCCTGGGACCTCCTGGTGACCTCCTGGGGCTTCCTCCTGGGCCTCCTGTGGCCTCCTGGACCCCACATGAGGCTTCCTGAAGCCTCTTGGGGCTCCCGGGGGGATATCTAACATGTGGCCGTCGCGGCCCCCCAAAATGGGGGGGGGGGGGCTACAAGAGCAGGAAAAATCAACGAATCGACACCGGATTTGTATTAACTTGACACGTTCTGATAGGAGGCCTCCTGGGGCCTCCTGGGAGCCTCCTGGGAATCTCCTGCGGACCCCTGGGGCCTGTCCTGGGCGTCCTGCGGCCTCCTGAAGCTCTCTGGGGTCTCCTGGGGCTCCCAGGGTCCCAGGGGGGATATGTAACATGTGGTCTTCTGGGCCCCCAGGCTGGACCACCTCTCGTGCAGCATCTGAGAGCTCAGAAGTTCGAGAATGTCTTGTGCGAAACGGGCTGGACCACCTTGCGCACGGCATCTCAGAGCTCAGAGTTGCGAAGATGTCTCAGGCGAGATGGGCCGGACCGCCTCGCGCAGGGCATCTCGGAGCCCAGAGTTGCGAGGATGTCTCCAGCGTAACGGGCTGGACCACCTCGCGCGCGGCATTTCGAGCCCAAGAGTTGCGACGATGTCTCGGGCGAAACGTGCTGCGAGGAAGTCTCAGGCGAAACGGGCTGGACCACCTCGAGCGTGGCGCCTCAGACCTCCGAGTTGCGGGGGCCTCCTGTGGCCTCCTGGACCCCACCTGGGGCTTCCTGAAGCCTCTTGGAGCTCCCAGGGGGGGATATCTAACATGTGGCCGTCGGGGCCCCCAAAACTGGGAGGGGGGGCCAGAAGAGCAGGAAAAATCAACGAATCGACACCGGATGTGTATTAACTTGACACGTTCTGATAGGGGGCCTCCTGGGGCCTCCTGGGAGCCTCCTGGGAATCTCCTGCGGACCCCTGGGGCCTGTTCTGGGCGTCCTGCGGCCTCCTGAAGCTCTCTGGGGCCTCCTGGGGCTCCCAGAGTCCCAGGGGGGATATGTAACATGTGGTCTGCTGGGCCCCCAGGCTGGACAACCTCTTGTGCAGCATCTGAGAGCTCAGAGTTGCGAGAATGTCTTGTGCGAAACGGGCCGGACCACCTTGCGCACGGCATCTCAGAGCTCAGAATTGCGAAGATGTCTCAAGCGAGATGGGCCGGACCGCCTCGCGCAGGGCATCTCGGAGCCCAGAGTTGCGAGGATGTCTCCAGCGACGGGCTGGACCGCCTCGCGCGCGGCATTTCGAGCCCCAGAGTTGCGACGATGTCTCGGGCGAAACATGCTGCGAGGAAGTCTCAGGCGAAACGGGCCGGACCACCTCGAGCGCGGCGTCTCAGAGCTCCGAGTTGCGGGGGCCTCCTGGGGCCTCCTGGGGCCTCCTGGTGACCTCCTGGGGCCTCCGGGGCCTCCTGTGGCCTCCTGGACCCCACCTGGGGCTTCCTGAAGCCTCTTGGGGCTCCCGGGGGGGAGCTCTAACATGTGGCCGTCGGGGCCCCCCAAAACTGGGGGGGGGGGGTGGCCAGAAGAGCAGGAAAAATCAACGAATCGACACCGGATGTGTATTAACTTGACACGTTCTGATAGGGGGCCTCCTGGGGCCTCCTGGGAGCCTCCTGGGAATCTCCTGCGGACCCATGGGGCCTGTCCTGGGCGTCCTGCGGCCTCCTGAAGCTCTCTGGGGCCTCCTGGGGCTCCCAGAGTCCCAGGGGGGATATGTAACATGTGGTCTGCTGGGCCCCCAGGCTGGACAACCTCTTGTGCAGCATCTGAGAGCTCAGAATTGCGAGAATGTCTTGTGCGAAACGGGCCGGACCGCCTTGCGAAGATGTCTCAGGCGAGATGGGCCGGATCACCTCGCGCAGGGCATCTCGGAGCCCAGAGTTGCGAGGATGTCTCCAGCGTCACGGGCTGGACCGCCTCGCGCGCGGCATTTCGGACCCCAGAGTTGCGACGATGTCTCAGGCGAAACGTGCTGCGAGGAAGTCTCAGGCGAAACGGGCCGGACCACCTCGAGCGCGGCGTCTCAGAGCTCCGAGTTGCGTGGGCCTCCTGGGGCCTCCTGTGCCGATCCTGTGACATCCTGGGCTTCCTCCCTGGGCCTCCTGTGGCAGCCTCCTGGACCCCACCTGGGCTTCTGAAGCCTCTTGGGGCTCCCAGGGGGGATATCTAACCTGTGGCCGCTTGGGCCCCTCAGAATAACGGGGGGGGCGGGGGCGCCACAAGAGCAGGAAAAATCAACGAATCGACACCGGATGTGTATTACCTTGACACGTTCTGATAGGCGGCCTCCTGGGGCCTCCTGGGAGCCTCCTGGGAATCTCCTGCGGACCCCTGGGGCCTGTCCTGGGCGTCCTGCGGCCTCCTGGAGCTCTCTGGGGCCTCCTGGGGCTCCCAGGGGCCCAGGGGGGATATGTAACATGTGGTCGTCTGGGCCCCCAGGCTGGACCACCTCTTGCGCGGCATCTGGGAGCTCAGAGTTGCGAGAATGTCTTCTGCGAAACAGGCCGACCACCTGGCGCACGGCACCTCAGAGCTCAGAATTTCGAGGATGTCTTGTGCGAAACGGGCCGGCCAGCACGCTCGCGCAGTGGCATCTCAGGCTCAGAGTTCGAGGATGTCTCAGGCGGGGCTCCAGGGTCCCAAGGGAGGATATTAACATGTGGTTTTCCCCCCACCCTTCTGGCCCCCAGGCTGGACCTCACCCCTTTGCGCGGCATCTGAGAGCTCAGAGTTGCGAGAATGTCTTGTGCGAAACGGGCCGGACCACCTTGCGCACGGCATCTCAAAGCTCAAAGTTGCGAAGATGTCTCAGGCGAGACGGGCCGGACCACCTTGCGCAAGGCATCTCAGAGCTCAGAAGTTCGAGGATGTCTCAGGCGAAACGGGCCGGACCACCTCTCGCGCGGCATCTCCGAGGTTAGATAGAGTTTCGAGGATGTCTCAGGCGAAACGGGCCGGACCACCTCGCGCAAGGCATCTCAGAGCTCAGAGTTTCGAGTATGTCTCAGGCGAAACGGCCCGGACTACCTCTCGCACGGGACCTCGGGGCTCAGAGTTTCGAGGATGTCTCAATATAAACGGCCCGGACCACCTCTCGCGCGGCGTCCCGGAACGCAACTTTTCGAGGATGTCTCGGGCGAAACGGCCAATCCCGGCCAACTCAGAAACGAGAGTTGTGAGGACGTCTCAAGCGAAACGGCCCGGACCATCAAATTTTTGTGAGGATGTCTCTGCTCCGACTTCCCTCGGCCGGAGTTAGCTTCTATCATAACAGCGCCCCGTTCAGCAAGCTGTTTGGGGAAAAAACGCTGCGGCGGGCGCGCGGCAGCGCAGCAGGACACCAGCAGCCCACGCGTCCATCGGGAACGAGTAGCCCTTGCCGCGGGGGAGCTGCAGCACCTGAAGGGGCCCTTGGACACACAAGTAAGTACACACAGATCCCAGGATTCCCCACATCTCCCATAGTTTCTAGAGTTTCGTCTTCCACCCCACTTCCCATATTTTCCCATATTTCTGGTGAATCGGCGATTCATTGTGTCTGTGTGTTTTTCCCTCCTGAGGGCACCTCTGGCGGGAAGAAGGCCGGAGTGCCCTCGCAGGCGGTCAGCGAGTCCTCGTCGCCGCAGAAGCACGCGACGCCAAAGTCGGCGAGTTTGAGGGTCCACTTGTCCAGCAGGAGGACGTTCGCGGGCTTCACGTCCCTGTGGAGGATGCCCAGCCCCCGCAGGCACCCGAGGGCGTCGAGGAGCTGGCATCCCAGGGCCGCGGCGCCAGCCTCGCCAGCGGCCACCAGCGCCTCCTGCCCGACGGCGTCCTCCAGCGTGCCGTAGGGGCAGTACTCGAAGATGAGGTTCATCGTGCCCCACTCCTCGTAGTACTCCAGGAAATTGATGATGTGCGGGTGCTTGCCAGACACCGCCTGGAGCATCTCGATCTCCTCCAAGACGTGGCGCCTGGTGGACCAGCTCGTCTTGCCAATGGTCTTCACGGCACAAAGCGCGTGCGTCTTCAAGTTGGTGCAGGGCCTCACCTCTTTGGGGACGCCCAAAAGGATACGAAAAAATGGGTACGATGCCCAACAACAAGTCTTGTCCAACACCGACAGAATCCGCTGTTCGGCAGGCGACCTTCTGCTGCAAATGGGCAACACCCGCGCCGACGTCGACAACGAGTCCTCTTCAAAACGAACAGGACATCATGTCAGTCTGTGCACCCATTCTTCCCGTACCCATGCGACGTCCTGATTTTTTGCAGTACGGCGTCCCCATAAGTCCCGCGGGCCGGCTTTTCATCCTGAGTCGTTTTTTGACGGCCCCAGGGCCCGGCGAGGGCCCCCAGAGGCCGACAAGGGTGAAGAACCTCCGTCCTGCTTTTTGCGACGCGACCATGTCTGGGTTTCGATCGTCCCGAACCTCGCCCGTGGCGCCCGAGCCCGCCGGCTTCTCGTGGCCAAACCTCTTGTACTGGATGTCGTACTTCGACTCCACGGCGCCGTAGCCCGCCGGGCCGTAGCCGCACGAGGAGCCCATCCCTGCCCAAAGTCTCGCCGCGCCCCGCGCCCGCCGGCCGGATTGCCTCAGCGCACCAAGCGGGCCGCCCAGGGGGGCCGCGCACCTCTTACGTCGCGCCGTCGTCGTCGTCGTCGTCGTCGTCGTCGTTTGCATCATCTGCATCATCTGCGTCGTCGTCGTCGTCGTGGTCGTCGGCGTCTTCGTTGTCACCGTCGCCGTCGCCGTCGCCGTCGCCGCCATCGCCGTCGCCATCGCCGTCGCCGTCGCCGGCGCCGGCGCCGTCGCCGTCGCCGGCGCCGTCGCTATCACCGCCGCCGTCGCCGTCGCCGTCGGCTGGCCCCCAAGAAGCCCCCGAGAGGCCCTCGGAACGCCCAAGAGGCCCCCCAGAAGCCCTTCTTGGCGGGATGGGCCGAAGGCCACTTAATTTAGGTCGGGCATGTCCTCCTACAGGCGGATTTTGGAAGAAATCATAAAATTATCAAAACACATGTTCAAAAATAGTAACAAATATTCGAAATATCTTCCCCTGACTATGTTTAAACCATTATTGAATTGTCCTACTGTGGAGGGACATGCCCCATTTAACACCAAATCGAGGTGGCACGGTGCTCCGTCTCTTCCCCAGTCTCAGGGTGCTCATCAAACCATTCTGGGAAATCGTCGGCCTTCCATCGTACGTGTGCGCTCCTCGGGTCCTTCGCGGCGTTTCGTGGGCATCCTGATCCCCCTCCTCATGGTCGGCGGAGCCGGCCGCAAGGCCTCTCCGATAGAAACACGAACCGCTGTCAACCTTCGTCCCCATTCTATCCTGTATCCATTTCTCGGGTCGGACGAGGGTGAGTATCGTTTAACCGATCTCCATCCCCAGCGGCGTGGCCTGGGCCCCACTGGCCGATTGACCCCCCTAGACGGGGATATAGGCCGTATCACTCGGGTTTCGAGGGGTGTATCCCCAACTGGGGTTGCAACTTGATGGGGGTCTCGAAGGGGATGGGCATGGGGATGGGGATTGGTTAAACGATACCAAGAGGGGGGGGGCGCGGGGGGGGGAAGGGTGTGGGGGGGTGGGGGGGGGGGGCAATTCATAAAGGTGGGGATGTGCAGTGCGGCCTTCCCAGGGCCCTGGTCAGCGGGGTCGAATGGCTGCGGCTCCAGCCGCTCGTGCCTCCCGCTGCTGCCTGAGCTGCTCGCTCTCCAAACTTTCCCCCCCAGCCCGCAAAGCCACGCACCCCGCCCACGGGAAGCCCTGGGAAATCACACTCGAGGGTTCGCCGATCAGCTTCCGCAGCTCGCTTCCCTGGCGCCCCCTGGCGCCGAGAAGCGCGAGAAAGGCTCACGTAACGCAGGAGAGGCGCCCGGCTTCCTCGTTAGCAACTCAGCTCATGTACCAAGAAAACTCGCCAGCCCAACGAGCCAGAGGCGTGCCACGATCTCTGGTAACTTGTTCACAATAGTTTCTAGTTCGCGCGCGCGTGGCAGCCCCTGGGAGCCCCTGGACCCGCGCCTGGACCCGCGCGATGCCCGGCCGACTCCCCCAGGGCGCTCCAGGAGAGCGTCAAGAGGGCGCCGGGACGCCCCCGACACGACCCAAGAGGCCCCGAGTCGCCGAAAGATCGTCCCAAGACGCTCAAGATGGTCTCCAGATGGCTCCAGAGTTCGCGAAAAAGCCCCAAGAGAACCTCAAGAGGCTCTCCAAGAGGGCCCCAACAAGCAAAAATCGCCCCATTCCCTCCGGAAAACATACATCTGTCGCAAAGACCCTCTGAGTCGGCCCAAGAAGCCTCCAAGAGGGCCCCCAGACGGCCCACGACGGCCCCAAGACAGCCCAAGAGGCGCCCAAGATGGCCCAAGAGGGCCCAAAAACGGCCCCAAGAGGGGACCGAGACGGGGACCAGGAACCCAAAAGTCCAGCCTTCAGCGCCCCAAGAGGCCTCCAGGAGGCCCCAAGAGGCCCCCAAGAGGCCCCAAGGGGCCCCCAAGAGGCACCCCAAGAAACCCCAAGAGGCCCTGAAGAGGCCCGAAGAGGCCCCAACACCAACACGGCCCCCAAGCGGCGAGGCAAAATGGGCCAGCGCAATGAGCGAAGCGATAAAAAAGAGGGACCCTTGGACACACAAATAAATATACTCAAATCCAGGGTTCCCCATATTTTTCCCAACCATCCTGTGGTGTTGGGTCCTCGTTTTGAAGAGCGCCCCGCGTCCCACCTCCTTCCTTCCACAATTACTCCATATGAAAATACTCTCCCTCTTCCCCTGATGGCGTCCGGGTGATGGCCGCGCACCCTCCGCGCACTGTTTTTTACACACAGGATTCCCAGGAGATCCCGGGAAACGACTCTCGCTGAGGCGCTGGCGTCATTTTTTCCCAAAATGCTGCTCTCGTTGAGGCGTCGGCCTCATTTCTGCCCCCGAATCGTTCCGAATCGTGCTCCCGCTGCAGCGTGGGCCTCATTTTCGGATCGGTGTTTGGCCTCCGTCGTTCAGGATGGCGTTCTCGCCCCAGCGCGGGCCTCTTTCTCGCGCGCCCATCCGCCCGCCACCACCGCGCCGCACCACAACCACCACCACCACCACCACCACCACCACAACCACCACCAGCACCACCACCATTACCAACCCACCACCAACGCACCACCACCAACCACACCACCACACCACCACCACCCACCACACCACCACCACCACCATACCATCACCTACCACCACCACAACAACAACCACGCACACACGCACGCACGCATGCACGTGCACCACCTCCCACTACGCACGCGCGCGCGGAGCCACAGGTCCGCTACGACACGCGTCCGCGGATAGAGAAAATCAGCGCCATGGTAAGGGATGGGAGGGAGGGGTAGGACGTCAGATATGACGCGAGCGCACCTAGCTTGTCCTCCTCCCCCTCCTCCCTCCTCCCCTTCCTCCCTCCTCCCCATCCTTGCCTCTGTTCTCGGCACACCTCTCAGACGCTTCGTAGCCCCATAGGGAGCTCCACCGAAGGCCCCAGTGGTTGCTCTCGCACCACCGAAGGCCCCACTGGGGGTGTTCGCATGCGGTTCCCCCACCCAGGGCAGCGCTTCGTGGCACCATAGGGAGCTCCACCGAAAACCCCACTGGGGGTGTTCCCATGCGGTTCCCCCACCCAGGGCAGCGCTTCGTGGCCCCATAGGGAGCTCCACCGAAGGCCCCAGTGGCGCAGTTCGCATGCGGTTCCCCAACGCAGAGCAGCGTTTCGTGAGCCCAAAGGGAGCTCCACCGAAGGCCCCAGTGGCGCAGTTCGCATGCGGTTCCCCCACCCAGGGCAGCGTGTCGTGGCCCCATAGGGAGCTCCACCGAAGGCCCCAGTGGCGCAGTTCGCATGCGGTTCCCCCACCCATGGCAGCGTTTCGTGGCCCCATATGGAGCTCCACCGAAGGCCCCAGCGGCCGCTCTCGCATGCAGTTCCCCCACCCAGGGCAGCGTTTCGTGCCTCTATAAGAGGCTCCACCCGAAGGCCCAGTGGCTGCTCTCTCGGCCGCCGGTTCCCCACCCAGGGCAGCGCTTCGTGGCCCCATAGGGAGCTCCACCGAATGCCCCAGTGGCTGCTCTCGCATGCGGTTCCCCCACCCAGGGCAGCGCTTCGTGGCCCCATAGGGAGCTCCACCGAATGCCCCAGTGGCTGCTCTCGCATGCGGTTCCCCCGCCCAGGGCAGCGCTTCGTGGCCCCATAGGGAGCTCCACCGAAGGCCCCAGTGGCTGCTCTCGCATGCGTTTCCCCCACCCAAGGCAGCGCCTCGTGGCCCTATAGGGAGCTCCACCGAAGGCCCCAGTGGCTGCTCTTGCATGCGTTTCCCCCACCCAGGGCAGCGCCTCGTGGCCCCATAGGG